CCATGGCACTCTACCAGGGGAACATGGTGAGACTCTGTCTCAAAAAAAAAAAAAAAGAAAAGAAAAGAAAAAAACAAAAAAGAAGAGAATGTACTTTCACTTTCTTGTATGTTTCTACGATATTTGGATTTTGAATAACTATATTACTTCTATAATTTAAAAAAAGCAGAAAGTTTAAAAAATGTAATTAACCATAACAACGCTTTCTTAGGCAAGAATTTAGTGTGATGTCATAGGAAACACTAATTCACAAAACTCAAAACTCTTAGAATATACAAACTAGTTGCCTTTTGTTTTTCTTATCCCTATGTTTAAGATACACCTATGAGAAGCTTTTATCCATAGTGTAATATATACTGTTCACTCTGAGACAGGCATCTGAAATAAAGGCATCAACTAGTGTATAAGTATTGTTTTTTTTTTGAGACAGAGCCTCAAGTTGTCCCCCTGGGTAGAGTGCTGTAGCATCACAGCTCACAGTAACCTGCAACTCCTGGGCAAGTGAATCTCCTGCCTCCGCCTCCCAAGTAGCTGGGATTACAGGCGCCCGCCACAACGCCTGGCTATTTTTTGGTTGCAGCCATCATTGTTGTTTGGCGGGCCGGGCTGGATTTGAACCAGCCAGCACAAGTGTATGTGGCTGGCGCCTTAGCCGCTTGAGCTTCAGGCACTGAGCCAAGACCAACGCTATTTAATAATGTTACTGGTGTTGTTCTGCACTGTAGCAGGTAGCTGGAATCCTAACTCACGCCTTTCACTTCCCGGGAACGTGGGAGTCCAGCAGTCTGTCTGCTCTGGCTTTGGGGACTCTCAGGTGATGCGACTCACTCCACCTCATCTGACATCTCCGGGGCGTTTGGAAAGACGGCTTCCCCATTAGGGCCCGATCTGCCTGCAGCCCTACCTTCCTCCGGCCGCTCGCTCTCGAGCAGCGCCATCACCTCGGTGCCCTCCTCGCCCGAGCGGACCTCATCCACATCCACCACGGTGGCGGCGGGCGCTCGGGGCTCTCCTGGGCTCCCCGCCCGTCCCGAGCCGGTCCGCTCCGGCCTGGCATCCCGGCGCCCGCGGCCCCCGCCGCCCCTCTCGGCTTTTGCCCTCTTGTTCTCCTTGCGGGGAGACCCGCCGCCTCGCCCGTGGGTCTCTCGGGAAGAGCTTCGCGCCCTCCTCTCCATGCTCCGAGCTGCCGGAACGGATGCGGCTGGGGCCCGGGAGCTCGGCGCCCGCAGAGTCGCCCGCAGGTCCGGTGGGAAGCGCTGGCGGGACTATAAAGAGCGTCGGGTGGGGGCGGGGCGGGGCGGGGCGCGGGAGACCGGCCCCACCCCCACCCTCCACCCCTCACTCTGCTCGGCGGGAACCCGACGGCCGCCTCTGCCCGCGCTGCCCGCCCCGCCGCCCACCCCGGAGAACTGGTGCGACGCTAACCGGTGCGACTAAGGGTCGAGCTGTAAAGATTCAGTTGCCTGAAATGCCACAGAAGCCCGTAAATCACAGAAGGGGTGATGGCACTTTGCTTTATGATTTGTAAAAGTAGTATGGAATAAGTTATGAGTTTTTAAGTGTAATTAGGGTGACTTTAAGGTAAGACGAGGAATTTCTCTTCACCCCCACCCGTTTCCCCTTTGGAGTCCTTTCAAGGGCGCCTTTCCCCTTTTCTACTTATTTTTTACTTTATATCCTGGCCCTACGTTTTGTGCTAATGCTTTCACTACTGCTGGCGGTATTTATTAATACATTTTTCAAGGAGAGAAAGAAAACTGTCTGAGATTACTTTCTTCTCTGATATTATTTATGTTTCTTTATTTTTAAAGAAACGTTTTTATTTTTGATGATACGGTGCTTATTGAAGGGACGGGATCTGGTGTAATTTCTGTTTTTAGGAAAGGGACTTTCGTCCCTGCCTAGGCCCTACTCTCTTGCTTCCTTGATGAAGGCTGAAGTTTTTGTTCTTTCAAGATTCACCGGCCAGGCCGGATCTAGCAGCAAACTAGGGAGCTGCCCCATCCTCTTCTGAGGGACTTGAAATAATAATTTATCACTGAATGGGAGGTTGGTCTAAATAACCCATCACACAAGATTTATGATCTACACAAAATAGTTCAGGTCACATGATGGTATTAAGTTTCACTTATTTTTTATTTTTTAATATTTATTGAGTTCACACAGTAATAGCTTTTCTTTCTTTTCCTCTCTCAAAAATCTTATTAAGGAGTGAAGACCTGAAGTAACTCAAATGGGTTTGAAAAAACTATTCCAGTACTTTCTTTCATGTGTTGCAAATTAGGTCATTGAGAATAAAGTAATTAAAAAGTTAGTAGTAAAGTAATTTAAATATTTTTTTAACTCTGTAAACCTGATTATTACATGGGATGTATAAGGGAGGACAAATGTTTCTTCCCAAGTGACTGCCTCAATTAATAGGTCCTTCCTAAAATGCTACATTGAGAAAAATTCTGAAGCTGCATTTGGTCCATAAAGGGAAAAGTATCATGATTATTTAGTATTCCCTCCAGTTAATATTTGCTCTTTAGTTTCTTTATCATCCTATAGAGATTTCCCTCTTAGGAAAAGCATGAAATTGTTCATAGCATTTATGTATTTTTTCCTGCACCTTTGCTAAGTTAACTTGATCTATGCTTCTAGCTGTAGACTCTTATACCAAGGTTGCACCTCAGTTGTAACTCTTAAGAATGAGTCAGGATCGCTGGCCAGATGCTGTTCTCCAAACTGTAGTCTGTCTCCCAGTAAGGTAGAGAAATTTCTTGTAGGAGAAAAACTAATGAGAAAAGTCCCTCTTGGGTGCTGAAGCTCATGCTGGGAGCTTATTCTCCTTTGCTTCTTGACCATTGACAAGTTACACATTCTTCATTTTCTGTCTTCATATATAACAACCATATGAGCACCTGCTTATAATACAAGTCTGTTGGGATTGTGTAAGGCTGATGGTATCTGAGAAGCTATATCACATTCCATGGTAAAAAGGTCAACATGGCATGTCTGGAAGGTGGAGGAGTTGGGGAGGGGAATGCTGAGTTAGCATATGAGTCTAGCTGGTTAGCCTCATCTTATAATGCTGCTGCTGTTTTCCTTCACATTCCTTTTTAATTGAAAGTGTTGCTCATCCCTTTGCTGAAAATGTTATATGCACACATTTTAAAATTCTTAATGTTTTACTCCTTGTTTGGATTTGTTAAGAGACTGACTGGTAACTGGGTTACTCAGAGATGGGGAAGATCAATTAAAGTTAACTTTTAAGTTTATGTTTCCAAGGTGAAAGGTCATGAAAGAGTGCAAGGCTTTTATTATTTATTTTTTTTGGGGTGGGGGGGAGACAGAGTCTCTCTATGTTGCTCTTAGTAGGGTGCCGTGGCATCACAGCTCACAGCAACCTCATACTCTTGGGCTTATGCGCTTCTCTCATCTCAGCCTCCCAAGTAGGACCACAGGCACCTGACAATGTCTGGCTATCTTTTTGTTGCAGTTATCATTATTGTTTAGCTGGCCTGGGCCAGGTTTGAACCCGCCAGCCTCGGTGTATGTGGCTGGTGCCCTACCTACTGAGCTACGGGCACCGCCATAAGGCTTTTTCTCAAAATACTTATTCCTATATTGTGTTTATGGAACTTGTAACAGGGAGCGAAAGATATGTAAACAGACAGGTGTGATAAGTGTTGTGCATCAGGATTTCTGAACCTCAGCACTATTGACATTTTGGACCCAATGTGTTGTGGGGGTTGGGTGGGGGGAGCAGCCTGTGCACTGTAGAACCTTTATCAGAATCCCTGGCTTGTACTCACTAGAAGCCTGTAGCACTCCGCCCCTAGATGTGATAACTGAAGATGTCTTCAGATACTGCCAAATGTCTGTCCCATAGCATCAAAATCACTCCACTTTGAGAACCACTGATCTGTATTGTATACTGTGAGGAGACAAAAGGGAATAATTTTACCTTTGTAGAGTCAGAGGAGACCCAGTTTGGGCAATATTAAGAGATAAATGGGTGATTCTCTCAGGTGAACTTTGAGAGCTGGGCCTTCCAGCCAGAGAGAGCAATACAAATTGGCAAAAGAGGAGACTAGGGAGGTAACGAGCTCAAAGAAATAGGAAGCCTTTTATATAAGAGAGTGGGATTTTAGCTTAATGGCAAGAGGAGCCATTGAAGCACTGTAAGCAAGGAATTATATAGTCAGATTTGCAACCGAGAAAAGTCACTCAGTGAACAAGGTGGAACAGGAAGAGGATGGAGAGAGATCAGGAAGAGATTCTTGCAACAGTCTCAGGTTAAAGGGAGAATATTAGTTAGGTTGAGAGGAAAAAGTGATGAATTTCGGACTCTGGTCAGAGTGACTAGTGAATGCAGCTGACGTCCAACTGAGGGAATACAAGACAGAAAACAGATTTTGTTTAAAGATAAGTGGTCCCAGTACCAGTTTCAGAGGTATCAAGCTAGAAGCATCTACAGGATATGTGTCTGGAAATGTACAGTAGACAATATTTAGGTTTGAAGCTCAGGAAAAATGTTTCTGTGGCCCAAATCTCGAATTTTTCACTAGCTGCCCACTGTGTCTGTATCATACTCTACTGTGTCTACAAGAGAGAAAACCACTGAAAGCACAAATAGCACATGGAAAAGTGATCCTGGGCAGCTTGGACTCCAATACTTTAATCTCTATGTTCTCATTACTAAAGATACATTTCTTATTTCTGGTGGCTTGTGTGATCCTGAATATTCTCCTTTGTCCCTTAACAGTATCAATGGGCTTGGAGTGGAAAAACATGGAGAGAGAGGCCAGGGCAGGCATACAGATCCTAGATCAGTATTCCAATCTTTTCCCATTAAGGCAAACATAGAAAATGATACTATTTGAATGGCATACCTGGCCAAACTTAAGGGGATTTGAAAACATCTACATAGGGTTTAGTGAGAACATTTTATTTTTGATATGTAATTATGGTCTTAAGAAGTATTCGGGATTCAATATTAGTAAACTCAATTTTGTACACAAATAAAATGCTTTTGAAATTTAAAATAGAATCTTGAGTTTATTTCACAAGTATAAATTGTGTTTGCAATTTATATGAAATTCCTAGTCAAAACTTTTTAATGACTACTCGGGAGGCTGAGGAAAGAGAATTGCCTAAGCCCACGAGCTGGAAGTTGCTGTGAGCTGTGACGCTATGGGGCTCTACCCAGGGTAATAAAGTGCGACTCTGTCTCTACCAAAAAAAAAAGGAAAACTTCTTAATGGTAAGTGCTTTCAATTTTTGTTACTATCAATGAGAAAAGTGTTTACACAATTTAAAAAGTTTTTTTTTTTTTTTGAGACAGAGCCTCAAGCTATCCCCCTGGGTAGAGTGCCATCACAGCTCACTTCAACCTCCAACTCCTGGGCTCAAGCGAGTCTCCTGCCTCAGCCTCCCAAGTAGCTGGGACTACAGGCGCCCGCCACAACGCCTGGCCAATTTTTGGTTGCAGCCATCGTTGCTTGGCGGGCCCGGGCTGGAGAACCCGCCACCTTAGGTGTATGTGGCTGGCGCCTTAGCCGCTTGAGCCACAGGCGCGGAGCCTTAAAAAAGTTTTTAAAACCAATTTTACAATCGCTGAAAAATTTGTAACAGTTGAACTTAAAGAATCTAATATCTTTTCCTTCATCAACAAATGTAATTTTGATATTTCTTGTGAAAATGAGAATGGGTTTCAAATCCAATAACCTTTGTCGCAACAAAATAATAACAAAATGCTACAGGGCCTAGCACGTAGGTTAATAAAAGCGGCATCAGAGCAGCTGCAGCAGACAATGCAGGAAGTGTGGGATCACGTGCCCCCACGCGTAAAGCCCACACCCTACGGAAAGCGTCGCCCTGCCCCACCCCCACCCCGCGCGCGCCGCGTGCGCGGTAGGACAGCAAATGTCCCTGGAGGATCCAGCTGAAGCGGAAGTAGAGTCTTGACAGTTTCCAGTGTGTGGGCTGGCGTATCATGCCACCTGGAGGCAGGTGGACTAGCCCCCTGATTCCACTTGGTTGGCTTCTGAAGAGTCTGGGTGGGAGCAACTTTGGGCTGGAGGCTCTCACCCAACCCCCAAGCTGCCCCTATGGGCTGAGAGAGTCCGTATTAGACTGCGCACCTGAAATCCACTCGGCAGGAGACTTGGGAAGCTGCGCGAAAGCACGC